TCTCAAGAAGACTTATTATCTGTTATCTTGATGGTAGCTATTCTATAAGATGTGAATTTCTATATTGTTGTGCTTTTGATTTGTTTTCTTAATGGCTGGTGATGTTGAACATCATTTCATGTGCTTAATAGCAATTTGTTTAGCATCTTTGGAGAAGTGCCTATTCAGATCCTTCAGCAATTTTTAAGTTGGTTTTTATGCCTTTTTAACTAATAGGAGTTTATCCGAAAGCTTTTAGGATCAGGTGTACTGTGGATTAAATTTCAGTTGTGCCTCCTATAAAGCTGTCATGTCATGGTCAGAGTTATGTGGTCAGTCCTAGGGCATTTCTTTCTTGAGTCTGAGTCTGATGGTTTTCACATGGAAAGGTTCCAGCTCCACAGATACAGGCTTTCATTGACATAGCCTACAGGCTTGGGGGCCGGAGTCCTGACACATGACTGTCTTCTGTGGCAACCGGAACCATTCATGTTTCTCCCCTAAAGATATTGCCTCCATTGCATAAAACATAACACATGAGTCTGTATCACTTTGTTAAGAAGTAAATCACTTTGCATGAGTATAAACTCTGCTGCCTGAAAACACTGAAGGTGTTTTCTCACTTATACTATTAAGGTTGCCTGTGGAGACCAGCATTTCCTGAGAAGAGAAACAACTTTACTCTCTATGTAAACACTAGTGAGAACAAAGCAAAAAATGTTTCTCCCAAATTTCAACTCAGATACCTAATTAGATCTAAATTGAGTTTTGACAATGTCATCCTCAAACTTTTCTTTTTAATTTAATACATCCTTTGAAACATCAGGCTGTACCTTCTGGGGTTTTTTGTGAACCAGTTCTAAGCCCTGACTGCCTATTAGAATCACCTGGAAAATCTTTAAATACTCCATTGGTCTGGGCCACACAAACAGCATTTGATTTCACTGATCTGAAGTGGGCCTGGTCAACCTGGAGGTTGTTTAAAGCTCCACATGTGAATCTAATATGAAGACTTCAGATCATAGTCCAACATTATCCAGCTTCTTAATGACTATCCAACTTAATGAAAGAATCCTCCATCCTCTCTGGACCATTGTTTCTCAGATTTTAAGGGGATAGGTGACATCTGAGATCTTATTGAAATGCAGATCTGATTGGGTGGGCCTGAGGGTCCACAATTTTAGCAAGCCCCTAGGTGAAGCGAGGCTGCTCTCAAAGTTTTCAGAGTCATGAGGCCCTACGTGTTTATAGCGCTTTTCAATTAAGCCTAATTGGACATTTATGACATCAAGGATTTAACTTTTTAAGGTATCTGTTATTGAATATAATATGTGTTGCCCTCCTTTTGAAGTAGAATTGAATTTCTGTCATTCATCAAGAGAGGCAGTCTTTGTTAATGTAAAGGGAGAACAACCCACCTCTATAATAATTTGGAATAATGATTCAGATCGTTTAAAGCCATCATAAAATTCCTGCAAGTAGAATGGATCTCATAAATTTCATGAGGGATCCTATGGATCACATAATCTAAAGGAAGTGTCAGTCTCAGGAGTCTCACTCTAGAAGTAACTTAACATTTCTCAGTTATTGTTTCTGCTGTAAATTTTTGGTACTTCTAAGGCTTCTATAAAGATTGGTGAATTAAGAAATGCAGTCCTCTACTTCATCTTGTTTCTCACTTCTTCCTACACAAAGGGTAGCCTGCAGGAAAACAAAGCACAGAAGGACATTTTGAGGCTGACGTTGAAAAAAGAAATTGTGATATTACTTTGGTTTAATAATGAAAGAATAGAATATATTCTGAAAAGATTGTCTCTGTTAGCTCCTACAAATAAAGACAACTCTTTCTTTCCTTTCTTACCACTTTCCTAAGTCATCACGTGACATAGAACGTCTTATTAGACTCCTTCAAGGTGTTTGGGTCCTTAGACACGGCAGATAACTGCAAGAATGGAAAGTAGAGATGTTGGTTTTGTTCATCAAATGAAAACCACCATCTGAATCAAAAGGAATCACTAAATAAATTGATCTTTATCAATTCTTATTCGAGAACTGGAATCAAAATGTATTTCCATACAAATTTTGGATGGTCAAATTGAGAAATATTTTAATGTCATAAGTATTTAATGTTTAATGTTATAACTGCTTTGCTATAAAATGTTGTATAGTATGCTGATCAGTTCAGAGAGTATAAAATAAGGGAGAATTCGTAGCTTCTTGTATGACATCAGTTTTTCCATTTGTTCTTTATCAGCAATAATAATGCAACAGTTGTCACTGGATGAAGGACTGTGTGTACCTGACTGTTCCAGCGTTGTTTTGGTTAACATGTCAATTTAAAGAACTGCTATGGGCTGTCCCCACTGGTAAACAGAACCAAAAAAAGAACAATCCAGTGAATCTGTGTTCTCAGGGAAAGGAAGTCCTCGTGACGGCATGATTGTGGGGTTGGTGTGGCAGCAGGGCAAACTGGAGGGAGCACAATTAAAGTCCCTTCAGTTCTGGCAAGCCCAACTCTTTATGGAGCACTTTATGCTCCACTTTATGGAGCAGATGCGTGCTTCTACTGATTATTAACTGGTGCCACTAGAGTCCACCAGGTCATCCCAATCCGTGTAGGGTGTGATAGAAGAGTGATAGTCCCTCTCATGCAACAGGCTCTGAACATGAGCGAAAGACATTCCAAGGATGTATTCTTTTAAAAATTAGCTGGATTGTTTCACCTTTGCCACCTGTGCCAGCGGGAAGAGTTCTGTTTGTATGTAATGAACATCACCATCCCTTCTGATTTTTGCTTCTCTTGGTTCAGAGAGCTAATTCATAAGGACTGACTTCATTCTGCCTCTTTAAATTGACTGAATTGTCCTTTAATAATCAAGCCTATTAATAGCTTTACTGTGAAAGAAGAGCTAAATCAATATGTAATTTAACGACCCCTCCTGTCAGGAACACTATTGATTGTATCACTAATGATTTTGAAATGATATGCCATTATGCAAATCCCACCTATGTTAGATCTCTGCCAGACACCTAGAGAAGTACTCTTTTCCTTTTCGATCTTTTGATACTGATTGATTTAGAGGAGTTGTACAACTATAGCTTATGATTACAAGGCTATAACATGCAAAAATTGCTACAAAGAAGATAGATATTTGGCAGGTTTTTATAGGGTAAATTTGATCTCCCTTATAACATCAACTTCAGTTCTGAAACAGAAAAGACATGTATTATTTCCTTTTGTGTTCTTGGTAATATGTTTTGAGTTTTTTTCTTTTCTGGCTATTGAGGAATGATCAGATGTACTGGTTTAGTAAGGAAAGACTTAGCTAATGTTTTCTTATACTAAGTAAATAGGTGAATTGTTGAAAAAAGCTCTAGAAGATGGACAGGAGCCATTCACTGTACATACACAGTTGCCGTTGTCACGGTGTGGCTAGCTTTGTGACTGTTTACTCTAAAAAATACTTACCTTAGACATTTACAGCTGCTTATCTAGCTTTAGTATTTCAGTTCTTGAGAACAGAACTAAGAAGGAAGATACTTTCATGAGCTAATTTAAGAATAGAAATTGGGATGTGGGCATCATACCTGCATATTCTTTACCTGGGGAGTAGCTTATGGGACGTCCAATGTCTAAGACCAATTACTCGACCTTGTATCTACTTTGCTAACCCAAGAAAATAAGACTGCAGCATTTAGCATTAGAGGCTGGGAAAATCAGCAAATTGAAAGCGATGTCTATCCATGGGCTTGTACTTATCTGGAAAGAAGATCGATAGTTTTTGCCATGCATGTATCTAAGTCAAATTTGATGGTTTCAGTCAATAAAATTAAATGTGTGTGTGTGTGTGTGTGTGTGTGTGTACAACTAGTTCCCTTCCAGCAGAACTAGAAAATTCCATTAAAACTTAATAATGTCCATGGCATAGAAATTGCATCTATATACACTCACTGTTTCAAAAACTGTAGTGAGAAATGTTCTTGGCCAATATTATGGAACAAAAAGTTTCAAGGGTAAACTAGTGTTTAGGGGGCTTTGAATAAATCGTAATACATGAAGTGATGAAACCCTTATTAATTAGACAGCAACTTTAGATTTATTTTTGGAGATGCCAAGCTTTATGGGAAGTTGAGATTTGCATAACATGTGCATTTTTGTTACCTGCCTGTCAGTCACTGACAACCAGAGGGCCATAAGGCAGAAAGTGCTGAAGAGTGGATTGTAGCGAGAATTCTTAAAGTGCTACAGTGTGCAATATGACAATAGTGTAGGTGCTGTGTTTAATCAGACTTGAGACTCAACTTGTGGATAGAGGAAAGTCGTTATAACATCTTAACTCCCCCTTCTTTCAGAACATCTCATGGGAGAATACAGCTGCCATCTTTAGAAAGACAAAGAAAACACGAGCCCCACAGTGGAAAATCACTGTCCTGGCTCAAGAGTTTGATTCCAAGACAGCGGGCGGCGTAACATAAAACGTCTTCTACTTATGTTGTCATGCTTTTATGCATTTATTATCCTAATAAAATATTGTAATAAATATTTGGAAATACATGAAAACACAATGAAGGGAAAACTCCCCATCAGCCTAATACTCAAATAACCTCTATTAATGTTTTGGTGTGACTTATCATTTGTTCTTTATGGGTAAATTTCAGGTATAGCTCAGATAATTCTACAGTTAAGGCATTAACAAAGTAAATACATTTCATTTCTTATTGTGACCTGTGTTTTTCTTTTCCTTCTCATAGTGATGGTCTGTTAGCACTCAGTACTGTTTTGCCTAAAATAATTCTGTGCCCTTGAGCAAGGGAGCTATTCCCCAGGCCACCTCTCTAATCTCTCAGATCAATCCCAGGCCAGTCTGGAAGCGCATACCCACCGTGGGACCTGGGACCGTTTTGCAGCTGTGGTTTGTCTGAAAGTACAGCCCCTTAACCTTGATTTCCTCTCCTCTGTATTCCTTCCCTTCACTTTCCTTTTCCTCTTGTTCGTCAATTTCTATTCTTCTTTATTTCAGCAAAACAATATCAGTCAAGGTAATTGATGATGAGGAGTATGAGAAAAACAAGACCTTCTTCCTTGAAATTGGAGAACCCCGCCTGGTGGAGATGAGTGAGAAGAAAGGTGGGGGAGATGCTCCAGGGCTGAGCCCCTCAGCTTCTGCTGGCCTGTGCCACCCCTGGACACCTGCACTCTTCAGAACATGACTTCCAAGCACACATCCCTCCCCCTATGCAACAGGGCACAGATCTCACCTGGGGTTGCGTGTGGGCTGGAAGCTCCATGATTCCGTTTGGCCATTGTGCATATTAAAGATCTGACAACGAAATTTCAGTGCACTCAACTAAACCTCCATTTCTGGGCAAGGTGATGCAGATGCTTGCCAGGCCAAAATGAAGCCAACTTTCTGGTGTCTCTTTCTAATTTGGGGTACCTCCTGGCTGCTAATGGAAGCAGGAAGAATTTGTAAAAGTGTAAGTTAAAAACAGAAACATAACAAGAGCCAGCCTAGAGACCCGAGATGCCCTTTTCCATAGGCTGGGAGGCGATGCGCTGCTGGTTCTCCCTCATAACATCACAGCAACATTCAGCGTGGTGAACACCTAGCATGAGCTCGTGACTCCAACCATTTGTTTTGCCTTTGTCTTGTGTTCCCACAGGAAGATCATTACCATTAGAATATATGACCGTGAGGAATATGAGAAAGAGTGCAGTTTCTCCCTTGTGCTTGAGGAACCAAAATGGATAAGAAGAGGCATGAAAGGTGTGAGAGTATACAAAGACATACCAGCGAGAAATTGTACTCTTCTCTCTCCGTGTCTCCCTACTCTCACACTTAACTCTCTCCTCTTCCTCAGCTTCCAAGTACTATACTTCATTTCCTTTGAAGCTTTAGCAATTTCATCTCCCTTCCCTAATGCACATGTGCACTAAGCAATACCTGTTTTCTTCAGGAGATGCCAACTAACCTTGATTGCAACTAGATTTAATACATACCCAGAGAGAGAGACTTCTGGAATTCAGAAGTGATGACATAAAAGCATGATTTATGTCCTTAGTTTGTTATGACTCAGGGATAATTCTAAAATTCGGTGCCAACTACTAACTTTCCCCTAACATGCTGGTGGTAAAGACTACCACCAGCTAGTAGTGGTAGAGGACTCTAATGGCAACTAATCTAATAGGAAGTTTTAAAAGAATCTAGTAATTCTGCTTCCCTTAAGAATTCATTTTAAAAATGTTGAATAAAAACAAAATTTCTTAAACAGTAGTTTATTGATATTCTGGCATTCGTATAATATTTTCCTATCAAATATTATACTTGAAGCAGACCATTTATATCACCATAGTCATATAAGTTTTCTTCAATAAGGATGTTATGACTCTTCAGTAGGAATTCAGCTGTCACTTAAGGTTCATGCAGCCTTATTCGTCAAAATATTTTATTCCTTATAAAGTTGAAAAATTTCTAACAACTATAGTAAAAACAAATAAGTATCTTTGTGACAATTTTAAGGTTTATCTATACAAATATCTTCAGAAAATATTTGAGCAAGTCAATTTTTTCCTCTCATTGACTTGATACCTATTTTATGTGAACATTATTTGATAAAGAAGAACAGAAGTTTTATCTTAGTTGCATAGATAATTCCTTTGTCTGAATAACTATCAAGTCTTTCTATAATGGTCCTTTCATAATGGTCATTTTAAAAGAAATCACATTCATTTGATTATAGATGCAAATAAGCATATCGCATATGAATGACATTAATCGCATGTAAACAGTATACAGTCTAGAAGATGACTTTATAGGAGATGACTATATAAAACACATTGCAAGAGATTTTTACTTTTACACATATGATAAAAGTCAAATAAATAGGACAAATTCTTATACAGACACAACATTAGGAGGAATTTAATTAATCACACATTCATAAGAACTCACTGATCTCAAAGTGCATCAGAAAAAAAGTGCCTATCCCTAACTTAATTATGTTCAAAATGGTTAGAGGAGACTTTGGAATGATGAAGAAAGAAACACTGGGGACCCATTTTAATGCAGCCTATTTCCATAGGCAGTAGGCGGAAGGAAAAAACACTTTAAAAAATTGTGCTGATTTCTTACATAGATGGGATCAAAAATGCCTCATTAACATACAGGAAAAAGCAGTTACTTCTAAGTGTATTCCTCCAAAGAACTGTCTTTTATGTAAAGGAATAGCATCTTGGATATAGTTCTTTCAATTAACGTTTTAGTAAAATAAGCCCTCATATAAAAGCAAATTAAAATTCCTTGATAGCACTATCTGGTTTTCTACCCACCAAGTGGATTCTTGTCACTGTAATAAAATTACTAACTGGTTTTAGAAAGTACTCTGTCATTCTGCCATCATCAGAAGCCTGGGTCTGAAAGAGTGACCATAACATTCCCATCTACAAGTCTGGGAGTAATTTATTTGTTCCACTTAGCCAGTTATCGCTCACCAAAATAAAGTGCTACCATATAGCTGGGTTTAAAGCACATAATCTGAAAGACAAATGTTGCATGTCCCCCACAGGTCCCCTGCCCTGTCCATTTCTACTGAATTATGCATCCACTTTCTAATCTAGCTGTCCAAAGACAATGTGCAGAAGCCATTGATAAGGTTACACAAATGAGCACTAATTCTTGGGCCTTGTTATGAGAGTTTAAAAATATAGGTGTTTCTTAATGGCTAAAATATTGCACAGGTAGAACCTCCAGAGAGAGTAGACAAGCTTTATCTTGAGCCAAAGCTCTTTCGCTGTTCTCATTTAATGAAAGGTACAATACTGAGACCCCAGATGCTTTAAGGCTTCCGTTACTGATTAACTAACTCCCAGGCAATATTTAATGAGGAAGACTCACTCCAACTTTAGGGTTAGCTTCATAAAATATCTTATTAACATGATATGTGTGTGTGTGTGTGTGTGACTGTCACACACACAAACACAATACACATTTTTGCAGAAATTTCTGTTGGGATTGTTTTCTTGAAAATATTCCCAATGCCACAATTCCTTAGGATGTACCAGCATTCTAGCAGTGGCTTCCTACTGCTGTACTCAGATCTGGATTTCTTTCTGCTAATATTCCTCTTACTTTCATTATTCATCTGGTCTCTTATTCTGTGTTTGTCTTTGTCTTTTCCTTCACAGCCCTGTTATTGAATGAGCTTGGTAAGCATTTCATTTCTTGCATTTCCTCTCCATTTTTAGAGGCTATTTCTCCATTTCTGTCAGGTGATACAGAAACCTTCTGATTTTTCTTTCATTTCTATTAATTTACTCCAAGATTATTGTTTAGGGCCATCGGCCTCATTTTTTTAAGGTTAGATAGTTCATATTCCAGTTTTAGTCTAACCTAACCATTTTTAAGTGACCGACTTCTTAGACCTTTCACAAGAAAAAATTTTGTATGCTAAATTATATAAACTTAAAAGAACAATTAGTGATGAATTCATTAATTGTTATTGATGTTTTCATATTTTTCATAGCTGTAAATATAATCTGGCAAGTTTTTAATGCCTTGGATGGGTTGTTAGTCAGTTTGAGGTCACTGGTATTTATTATTTAGAGTGTAAATTAAATCAACCGTAACACTTCTTTCTTTTTCTTTTTTTAGGTGGCTTCACAATAACAGGTATGGATTTTTAAAGTTTAAAGTCATCAAATTTTATTTGTTACTTTGTTCTCTCCATAAGTTCATTACATTTAAAAAAAAAATCACTTCTCATTTTCATTTGCTTTAATGAAGGAAAATACCTGTATGGTAAGACCATCTTTTTTTAATGTTCCTAATTTTTCCCCAATTTATCCTTTAAAAGCAAACCAAAAAAATCACATCTTCCATAGCCTGTATTAACATTTAGTCACAACACATGGTATGCTTTTGCTGATTTCACACATTTAACATTTTACACATTAACAAAGTGTGTGTTGAAGTGATTTATAAGCACATCTGTACAGGAAATCTGTAATTGTTCACATGGTGACATGATAAATGTTTAATATTCACAAAGCACCAATAATGTGCAGTGTTTCCAACTAGTAAATAGTATACAGAGTAAATAATATACAATGGGCCAGAATAAATAGCATACAATGGCTGGCCTCAAGGGGACTAAAGCTGATATATAAGACTTCTCCTTGGCCTAAGTGCTGGATCCTAAGAATAGATAATGCCCTCTTGGGAAGACAGACAGCCCCTTTTTCCCCTCACCACCCAGTTGAGTCCCTCTATGGGGATTTAGGCTTTAGAATTATTAATAAGGTGGTTAGTAATTTTTCTGCCACTTGCAAATATTACAATGTGTTAAATTAAAAACTCTAAATAACAATCAAAAAGGCTTAAATGTCTTAAATTCAGCATGGTTCCCAGCCTGTGCTGACTGTTACACAATCGACAGCTGTTTTTGGTTTTTTGTTTTTGTTTTTGTATACTGAAAGAAGTCATTCCTTTACAGCATCCTTGTCTTGAAGCTCATATTTTCTTAGCTTACTAAAGTCATCTAGCATATTTAGAGAAGTAGAAAAATATCAAACATCACTCTGATTATTCAGAAGGTACAAGTTGAAGATGTTTCACACCTCCATCCTCGTGGCCTTGGCATTTTCCAAGATATAGTACATATACCAACAGTCTAATTCCCCCCCCCCCCGAAAATCAAATAGCTGAACAAAAGTATTCGAAAGGAGATATTTCCATCCAACAATTCTAATTTTGAAAATGCCATGGTGAGTTGTGAGGTTAACTTTAGCTACTGTTAGTATAAACTCATATTTAGGTGGTTCCGACATGTCCATCCAAAGTGAAACATTCTGAATATAGGCTATGTCTCTTGGACTACAGCTCTCTGCTGCTCTCTAGACACAGCATCTAATGACAGAATGATTCATAGACTCTCAGAGACACAGAATTAAAAGAGATAAAAACAGCCCAAGTCCTGGTCGAAAGTATCTGAATCGTCAGAGCTTTCCCAGGCCAGATCTCCTTGACTCTGCAGTGCTGAAAGTGCCTCACTTTTTCAGCCCTACGCAGTCTGAGAATGAGATCTGAACTCAAAATCTTTGGTTATGGACTGCCTGGTGAACATGCATTGATGTGTTGAGATATCTTCCTATTTTCTTTTTCATTGAACGGATAAGATCTTATTTTTAGAAACTAACATTACTCTATTTGCAATAGCCTCCCTGTTAGTTTCTAGATAATAAGGTCCTAGTTTTCCTTTCTCAGCACTTATTCCTATCAAGTTCTACAGAATCTTTTCAGTAATGCCCAGCAAAGCCCTACATTTCCTGCCTTGGATACATATGCAACTCATACAGACTTGTTTCCTTGAAAGGTTTCTAAGAGTTTATGTACTTGATTAAGTTCTTTCTTACCACTGATATTTTAATTGGAAATAGACCTCTATTGTCTCTTCAGAAAAACTGAAAATTGATGCAATTAGAAAAAGAGAATATTCCTCCTGGGAATTTCTACATTGGCCAACTCCTGTCTTCTCCTGAATCAGACCAGGATACCTGGGGACAGTCCTTTCTTGACAGCCCTGGAAAAAGCTGTAAACTTATATCAACCCATGAACAGCGATCTAAGTACCAAAGCGTTTTCTTTGACATCAAGTTGAAACTTTGAATTTAAGGCTTTGAGAGGCAGGGGAAGGAAAAAATTAATTTAGCCCTTGGACTTTGCCTGCATTTTTTATGTAGTCTTATGCAGCTGAGAGTGAGAATCTAAATTTGAAACAGGTTATATTCTAAATCAAAAAAATTACATGGTCCACAGCCCAATACCTATATTTCAAAGATCGACATTAAATATTGGAGGTGCTTTTGGAAATTTCACTTCTGTACCTGTGGCTCCTAGACCTTACCTCATTGAAGGACTCTGTGATCTCATTCCCCTTGATCTTCTAGGTGCAAAACATAATGATACATTAAACATTATAGCTCTTTAGAGTTTGTAAAACATTTTTTATTATATCATTTAATCTTCAAACTTATGGAGCAAGATTTTATTGTTCTTACTTATAGGAGAGGATATGAAGGTTAAAAGAGTCACCCATTCAGGATTCAGAACCTGACTTTTATTTTAATTGTAGTAACATTGGTTTACAACACTGTATGTGATACGGAGTTATAGAGTCACACCTCTTCAGATGTACTCGACACCAAGGCAACGTGATGCCTGGTCCAACCACAGTCACTGCTTTACTTCCACGTTCCCAATCTCGTCATTGCTACCTGCAGCTTAACCTTTTTTCAAGCCAAAACCCAGCTATGTCTCATATGAATTACATTCAAATGAAAAATGAGGAGGACCCCAAAAAGGAAAAACTAGAGCACATCAATTTGAATATTTTAAGGAGGAGGTGTCCAATTATGAGAAAATGCTTCCCATCACTGTTTATCAGGGAAATGCAAATCCACATCACAGTGAGATACCACCTCACACCTGTGAGGATGGCCCATTTAAAAAAAAAAAAGGAAACAAATGCTGGTGAGGATGTCGGTAGAAAGGAACCCTCTTATACTGCTTGTTGCCCGCCACTGTGGAAAGCTATATGAAGGCTCCTCAGAACACTAAAATGGATCTACCATATGACCCAGTGATTCCACTCCTAAGAATCTACCCAAGGGACATAACAAACACCAATTTGCATGGAAACCTGCACCCCTATGTGGGTTGCAGTTACTACTTAAAATGGCCAAGATATGGAAACAACCCAAATGCTCCCAAATTAGAATATTTTTAATAGAATTTAGTAACTTGGCTTGGAGAAGAGAGAAGCATGTTTGAGTCCCAAAACAGGCACTGTAGAGTTCCCTAATTATAGAGCAGTCAATATGCCTCTTTTAAAGTCACTCTCCCGAACATATTGTGCTCCCCGTGTGATTGTCTCAGTGAGGCACATGACTTCTAAGGAAGCCAAGCTATGACAGTTCAAAGAGTTGAGGACACTTCAATCACATAGGTACGCAGGTTAGAGGAACAAATCCCTTTGAAGGTCACATTCATTTTACAATCGAGTAAACTGAGTCTTAGCAAAGAGAAGTGTCTCACCCAGGTTTAGTTGACATGAACTCGGCGTCATTGGCACAAACTTCCAAGTCTCATGATGCCCAGGTCTGTTCTAGGAAGTTCTCATCAGAAGGAACAACAAGGGGACCCACAGTCAATTAAGGTAGGAGTTCAGTGGACCTTCTAGGCCAAGGCACCCCAAACACTATTTTCACAGCTTTCCCTCACCTAACCTGGCACTGTGTATAGCATTCTCCCAGTCAGACACCCAGGAAACAGTAATCCCATGCCCCACAATGACATCACTTGCCCCTTAAGCACATCTATGACTTAGATAGACAGGTACTATTGGGATGGTAGTGGGCAAATGGGAATGGCCGCCTCGGGGCAAGGTGAGCATCCTGTCAGCCAAACCAAGCTGCTTGTTGTCATGGCAAGTGCCATCTGCTATTTTGTGCTGCATTCAGGAAACAGAAACTAAAGGAGATGAATGTCCCATTTGGGGCACCTCAGGGAGCTGGCTGTGCACCCCACTGGGGAATGCAGTTCATTCACATAATCTGCTTTGGCCAGTAGAGTCCTCGCCAGCAGTGGCCTGGTGACTTCTGTGGCCTACATAGGAACAGCGTAGGTCCATTCAGTCACTGAACTAACCTTCTCTGTATGTGTGTGTCTGGGTTTGATGTTCTCTTACTAACTCCACAAAGCTGTGCTAGCAAAACAGTGCAGTCCATTCTGTTGATTTTCCACCTGTCCTTTTGCTAGGCCAACCGGTCTTCAGGAAGGTTCATGCTAGAGAACATCCAATTCCCTCTACTGTAATCACCATTGCAGGTACTCATCTCATCGTCGCCCTTGAAGCCTCGTTTAATTAACTTGAAGCTAACCACCTTCAAGTGCTTCTTTAGGTCTTTAAACATTAAAGTAACACAATTGAATCCCTGTTGTCTCTAAAACATGATTAATTAATGGTAGTGACCTCTTAGCAGCTGGGGGTATGAGCAGCAACAAACGCAACCACTCCAGGGCAGGACAGCAGGAGTGAGGAGGAATGGGAGTATCTGCATGGAAGATGGAGCCCTCTCAAGTTTCACTCTAGTCCAATTTCTAGCAAATCTTGTTCTCAAACATGGGTCTTTCATCCCAATTATAGTGAAGTTTCTTATTTTTTTAAAGATTTATTTATGCATACAGAACTGGGGTATAACCCAGAGTTGTAGGGGTGGTAAGAAGATTCACCAGAGACAGAGTGGGGAGCAGAACAGGCCAACTGACAAAGTCCACTGCTGAGGGGAGCAGCGGGCGGGTCAGGAGAGGTCTGCCACGCCATGTGGATCACCTCCGGGTCAGGCGGGGATCGAACTCATGGCGAAGTGGCTTCTTAGTGCTGTGCTTGAACCCGTTGCGCCACCGAGGGCCCAATATAGTGAAGTTTCTTTAAGAGCAAGTTGTATTTCTTCCCAGAGCCTGCCTTTCCTGCCTTCTGGCAACATGTTAGCCATGCATACACAGATGAAATATCTGTATATCTATGGAATTTCTTCAGCAGGAAGCATATGACTGTCCCAGAGACACTGGCGGTCTGGAGGCCGGGCATCATCCTGGCACTGAGCTTTGTGAGGGCACGGAGCATTTCTCTTCAGCCAAAGCCACACCCATCCGTGTCTTTCTTCATGAGACACAGCCACGACTAAAGTGTTGTTCCAGAATATTCCACATAAAAATAAAAGACCAGTCTCCACAGTCTCTGAGCAGATTAGACAGCAGGTACTGAAAATTGTCAGTAGGTCTCTGCTTTCTGATTTGTCAGCACATTGCTGAGTAAAGGTCCGAAATAACCTTGAAGAGATTGTGCCACCGCTGACCACGTACCCCTTTCCAAGTCCTGTGCCATTTGTTAAGATTAGTAATTATGAAGATGATAGAGGATATCAGCAGTTGTTCCTCAGGTGCGTGTCTGCCTGGTGAGCTGGGCCACGCAGGTTGTAAGGGGACCCTGCTCTCAGCTCCTCCTTTCTTACAATAATGCTGCTTTAAATGAAGCCTGAGCAAAAGCACTAACGGCAGAGCTTTTATAGTTCTGCTGTCCTCCAATCTGAGGTCCCTAACTGTTTGCTTTTGTTACTTGTCATTTGAAAAATCAATTACTTAGGTGAAGGGAGGCTTCCTACTGACAACCACATTGCGGGATTGCTTTGTCTTGTCAATACTGACTTTAATAGTGGTGTTAGTTAAGCATTTGATATTTAAGTTTGGTTGGTTCAGACTGGGATTTATATAATTATTATCAACTCCTCAGTAATATATGGCACATTTAAAAAGTAAATATATATATATATATATATATATATATATATATACACACACACACACATATATATATATATATATGTAGTCTTAAGACCATACATATTCATTATATAGCAATATCATACAGCAACAATAGGATGTAGCCAACTGCCTCCCCTCAGTTACATATAAGAATGATTATCTCTTACATATTTATGACATATATTAAGTGATAATAGTCCTTACCCTTCTATATCATTGAATTCCTGCTTCTCTCTTCCCTTAGCAAGCCTCTCTACATGCTTAAAGGATGATTTCAGATTATCTCTCTCTCCTGCAGCCTTCACTCACTGCCTTAGACCAAGCAAACTTCTCCCGATGCCCGGTTCCTGGACCCATAAGGAGGAAACCGCCCCACCTATATTCCCTGCTTCCCACTAGACCATGAGTTCCTGGAAAACTTGGAGGAGGGGGAGTGCTTCATCTGTGCTGACATATTGTAGGAGTGTAATGACATTTGCTAAATGAATAAATGATCTATTTATTCATAGAGCGAATAAGAGTTTTGTTTTTTTTTTCTAAAAGTGAGTCGGAGAGTCACACGACATATTTATTGAGCATCTATTCTATTCCATATGTGGTCATAGGCTGGGAGGATGTAAGGACAACTCAAAAGCAGAGAGACTGTTCTATCTCAGTAAGTAGGTGTGCTGGATATTTCCATGCAAAGGTAATTTCTGGAAAAAAAAATAGCTCATTAGAAATGTCCAAGTTCTAGAAGAATAATGTATATTAAGGGGTTAATTCAGTGTTAGCATATTATTCTAAAATAATGAGTTGAGGGATATGTCATGCACAAAGAGGTAGGATTTTGAAAATTAAAAAACAGTTAGCTAAATAAAAATAGGAAAGTTTTTCCAGATGGATGAACAATGAGATAAATGTATGATGTTAAGTTCAAGTCAAATTTGGCACAAAAATATAAGAAGTGATGGAAACAAAGTTCCTTGTTTTTCTTTGGGTTCATGAGTTCTATTAAGACCAACCATGTTTCCTAAATTTTAGTCTCCCTCTTGCTTCCTTTACAATATTTACTTTGATTGCATATGAATGATACTATTACTTATTTCAAGTCAACTTTTTGAAATTGCTTTTACTCATGCCTTTAAATCACCAGATTTGCTTATTTATTTATTTATTTATTTATTTATTTGTGCATACAGCACTGGCGTATAGGCTAGAGGTGCAGGGGCAGTGTGAGGCTTCACCAGAGACACAGTGGGAAGCAGAACAGGGAGATCGACGAAGTACACTGCTGAGGGGAGCAGCGGGCGGGTCAGGAGAGGTCTGCCCGCCATGTGGATCACCTCCTGGGCAGGCAGGGATCGAACTCATGCAGAAGTGGCGTCAGCCTTTGAGTACTATGCTCTAAACTGCTGTGCCACGAGGGAGGACCCCAGATTTGCTTTTTTAAGAAAACTTTGCCACTAACACAAATGCAAGATTAGTATCATACATTCTAAATAGTAAATAAGATAAAAACATTTCAGAATGGGAAAATATGTTACTCAGTTCTACCTAGATAATGTTAGTCTACGGCTGAGAACTATTTCTAAAACAATGTAAAATTTTTCTTAAACTGGTAGAACAAGTTATACAACAAAACAGCACAAAACCAAGCCTTTCTTCTTGGTCAGAGAACTGAAGGGTGACTGAAGGGAAATAACTTTTCACAGACTGTGATTCAATTTCATTTACTCCCATTCCATTGATTTAATACCATGTTCCAAATCATTTCATTCTGTGAAATGAGACATTAAACAGTGCTACCCCATCACCCTTCTTTTGTAATTTCTGTTTTTTTGAACCAAAACTTCCTTGAATCCTATTAAAAATTTATCATTTAAAAGAAAAATGAGCCAAAATAAATCCCCCCCAATGACTTTGCAATGCAAATAAAAATCCAACTTGTAATATTCTTCAGAAAAAGACAGACAATGGGTTAGAGCACAGCACTGCAAGCTGGGCACAGCTCCTTCAGTGCAAGTTCAATCCCCAGCCCCGGAGGTGACCCACATGGCACAACAGTCCTCTCCTGACCTGCACGCTGCTCCTTTTAGAAGTGTACTTCATTGACCTGCCTGTTCTGCTCCTCACTCTGTCTGTGGTGAATCCTCTCACTGCCCCTGCACCTCTGGCCTGTATCCTAATAAATAAATATTAAAAAAAAAAAAAAGGCATCTCTGAAACATCCATGTTCAGCCAAGGTTTTGAACAAAGATACTAATATAACCTGCTATCATGAAAATTACCAATAACATTGTCTTAGCCTGAAGTTCAGAAAGCAATGTAAATAAAAATACAATTGACTTGAGAACTGGGTAAACTGGAATTCACATGCCTTGGCCAACCCCTTTGACTAGGGCAAATCTTGGGGATCTCAGTCAGAACCCTCAGTCATTACTTCCCAAGTCTAACAATTGGTTATTCCCATTTTGCAACGATCTGCTAACATTCAGCATTGCTGGCCAAGTCAAAATCATTCATTTTTATCCTTCATCTAATTTTTTTTTTTTTGTCCTGTAACTATGGTAGAAAGGAAAAAAGATTCTGAAAAATCCTCTTAGGAAGACACTATAGAAAACATGCTAAGCAATTGATTGGTATACTACACTCTGCATTTACTTTCAGTGGGTGTTGACACTTAATATAAAAAAAAGTGCTAGCTGAGCCCCTTAGCTCTGCTCCCTGCCCTCATGGTGATCTGGCCCAGGAATCAGTTCTCTCCAACACTTGCTACAGCATCAGAAGGTGCCACCACCGCCACGTCCCTCAGCGGAGGGACACTGTGTCTTTGGAGGGGTTGGAGTGTGACTCTTGTAAACTGCCTAATGCAAAAAGCAAGAAGTCTAAGCTGAAAGTCTCATTTCCTGGTGTCTCCTCAGTCAAAAGGCTCCTGCTGCAGACAGTTTCCCAGGAAGGTTCTAGCAGCCAGGGCATTAGGGTTGAGGTGTTTGTATACCGCAGGCTACCTTTTGGAGGTAATGTTCATTCACTTTGACCCGAAAGGAAAGTGGGCTGTCTTGTTCCAGCATCCTGTGCCTGAAGGCTGAAGGGGCCTGAATGATTAGAGAGACAATATTTGTCTTTCACATGTGCGTGGCCTTTTCAGTCTAGGATTTATCCTAGTGACCTTCTTGCAGAGAGGAGCCAGCTGTGAGCTTCCCCTCATTAATGAGCTCTCAAGTCCATTAACATTTTCTCAGCACCCACTAGCCTCTCCTGGAGTGTAAGCTCCTTGGTTCTGGAAGTAATCACATTCACGTGGTGAGTCGTGTGCATTCCCCAAGGGCCTTCTCTGTTTACTGTGGGATTAACATGGTCAAGGTCTTCCTAACATATCTCAGCTCTGCCCCCAAAAGAGGAAGCATTGGAGCCCAAGGGACTTTGGCAAGGAAGAAACTAAGAATTTCTGTACCACCTCTGGCCTGCGGGCGTTCTCTTTTTGCCTCTAGAAAGTAGAGAAGGGGAAGCCAGATTCCTGTCCCTTAGGTCACCCTCACACTTTTCATTGTACAGAAGGAATGTGTACAAATAGGCAGCTGAGCCAGTGTCTGAGGTGTAGCTGGGTGGTTCTCTCGATAAAGACAATGTGCAGGCAGCATGTTTCCGGTGATGTGCCCCTATAATTGACTTCCGATCTCCAGTTGGACAAATGCTTAGGTTGTGGAACTCCCTAATCACTTGCTGTCACAGGGATGTGCTACCTGACACCCCCAGTGTCTGTCCAATCCTCCCTCCAGTCTTATATCTATGTTCTCACCAAGGGACTTCTGTCATTGGGGTTTCCTTCCTTTTTGGCTTCCTCGTAGCACGATCCAGAGATTTCCAGATAACTTCGCGTTTAGGGCTCACTTTCTCACCCTTCCCTTTTATAGAAGAATGTGATGACAAGCAGCCACTGACCAGCAAAGAAGAAGAAGAAAGGCGCATCGCAGAAATGGGGCGTCCTATTCTGGGAGAACACACCAAGCTGGAAGTGATCATTGAAGAATCTTATGAGTTCAAGGTATGCTGACCAGCAATGGCCACTGCAGAGGCCACGCCCACGGACCCGTGACTGTTCACGGTGTTGGCTCATGCTGTCAGATCCATCTGGAAAGGGCGAGAGATGTAATTTCAGGAACTGACTCATTTACTGAGAGTCCTTCAGAGCAGGACTGGAATTAGAGAGCTAGTATGGGAACCAAGATTTCCTGTGAACCAAACAGCATCATCTCAGCATGGGGTGAGAGTTGCCCCATGGATTTTGAGGGGATAGGGAAAGCAAAGAATAAGCCAGAGTAGATTCTGAGAAACTATCTGTGGGAAAAAAAAAACAAGTTCTATTTTAAAAAGCTAATAAATCTCGTAGAATAAAATAGTCACACTGCTGAAAATTAAAAGGCTTTTGTTTGGGAAGGGGCTGGTCAGCTCTTCCTACATAACTGCCACTGACAAGCTCTCATTTCTCCTCTTCAGATCCGGGCACATTTTAACACTGTCAACATACTGAGGAGATTGTGATTCTAACGAGAGAGTTTGTAATTGAGCTGAAAAAAATTGGATTCACAGTTCTCTAGATGAGGAAAGTTGTTTTTCAGAAGTGAAACACATGGGTCGTCGGGCAAGCAGAGGACTTGGAAGGGAAACTTCCTGCTCAGCCTCGGTGGCTCCCTCTGCCCCAAGCCCACCTCCCACATAGACTAGTTTGAAGCCCCCAGTGGAGCCACATCTTAGTTCTGCAGTGAGGTAACAAAGGGAGTGTCCTTTCTCTGGCTTTCCAGAACTACAAGCCCAGAGCCTTTTATTTTTCAAAAGCAGAATCAGCTCCTGTTTGAAAAGCCAGGATGAGATTCTCCCCAAAAGAGAGAGTCAGGCCACAGCCAGTGAGAAGCCTCAGTCTTTTATCTGGACTTCTCATAGCCATGACCTCTTTTCCTTTAGTTGAGCCCATTAATTGTTTCTTTTAATTCCATTCACAAATTAAGGTGGCGATAGGAGACAGGTGGAAAGAAAAATCTCTTGGCAATTAAGTGGAATTTGTTAAAGATAAAACTGCAGTTAAACTTTCCCTTTAGGTGACAGTGAATCTGATAACCAGTTCTTCCACTTATTCCCAGAGAAAGACTGAGCCCAAGTGAGCCCTGGGCTCAGAGACGTTTAGGCATATTCTAGCATCAAATCACCATTGTTTAATCTGGAGCGTGGCTGGGAGCACACACACGACTGGTGCACGCAGGGGTACTCTGTGGTTCCAGACATCTCAGATTATCCATTTCATAGGATTAGTCTGACCAGAGGTACCCAGCTCACTGCTCCCCATGCACTCCCTTTTATGTACAAGCAGAGCTATTTGCTGAGGCAGAGATAGTACATATTGGCATATCTAGAGCATGCTCCCCATCCCTCATGGGGAATTGTGCATTCTTCCCTCTTAGGGGAAAACCCCATACCTCCCCGTCCCATGCACCCCTGACTAAGAGGGGTAACTGTGTTACCTCCCCATAGAAGCATTGTGTTGGGTCAGGCAGGGCACAGGGTTCCTGGTAGCGAACAGAGTTCTTGGGTCCAACACTCCTACTGGTAATCACTATAGTAATGTGAGTCTTTGAAGCCCTCCCAGCTGTCTCCTTGTTAGAGTTACTGATCTCCCTACTATAGTTTTCATAGAATGTTTTCTCTTATCTCCTCAGAGTTCATCAATGTAGTAACTGTTAGCACTAAGGCACCCCTTGAAAGCATGTTTCTGAAGAGCTCTCAGGTATCCCGTGTGGTATCATATTATCTCTTTTCACAGAACATAGGTACCTCTAAAGCTGTTCAGAGCCTCTCAGAATTACATTAGTGCTCCAGATCCGATTGATACCTCACAGTGTCCCTCTCCACTTTCCTCACGGAGATCTTGTTTACACACGAGAGGACTTGACTAGCACCCACTGCTAAGGGGGAGGCTGTCACAATCACAAGTCTAAAATGGTGAAGAGCTGATCACTGGCATTTTGGAAACCTCCAGGAAATGAAAATGACAATGTCCATGTTAGGGTATCTGAACTTCAAATTCCTCTGGACTCATGCCCCCTCTTCTCATAGGTCAAGGGAAGACACAGGTGTAGATTAAGTTGTCGAAGAACCCAGATTATCCATCTACTCTGTAGTCTCCATGGAAAATTTGACCTAAAGTTTACAACTATCCTGGGTTTTACATATATAAAATAAACTAAATTTACTTTACCTTGAAACTTAGTTCTTTGGTTGGTGTTCACTGTGAGAGGCTTATCTGTTCCACTCTCCCAGATGAGGGATCATTGCCATCAGAACAAAGAGCTTCCATTACAGTTAGGCAAGTTCAAAGTCATTTCTTGTGACATCCTACGTAGAACTTTGCATTGATATCAACCACGACACTCAGGCTGCTTGAGAAAATGTGGCTGCGTGGAGAGAGCCAGCATACCTGCTCATCCCCGCATCCAGTTCAGGTAGCCGAGCACAGCAACTGTCACAGTGTTCTCGGGGACACCAGTTTTACACACAAGGCCAAATGCTGAAAGCTCGCTGCCCCAAGGCAATATCCAGTATTCAACAGACAAGGATGACATTGTATCGCAGAGAAGGCCAATTACAGCTTGGGCCTTGCATGTTCATTATCACCTCAGTGTTTCAGCTCAGTTCAAATGACTTTTAGGGAACTGACACTCTTGAGGTTCTGAATTAACTGTGGCCTTGTGTACAGGCTCCTCAGGTCACATTTTCCTTCCTCCTAGCTAGCTGTTAACATGCCCGCCTGCTCTCCCAAGCCAAGTCAATTCAGGTACACTGCATTAAACGTGTATACAGATTTTGACTTAAGACAAATAATACGTGTTTTCTGCCTCTTTGCAATTAGTGGGAATTCGAGGATGCCCTGACAGTAAGTGTGGATGTTTGGTAGACTAGTCACTGCCATAGTTCCTCTGGAGAGAGCAGCCTCATGTCCTAGGAGCGACCCTCCTCCCTGTAGTTGCTATGATCTGTGGTCGTGCTTTGGTGCTTCTGCTTACTTAGCTTTCTCATCAGCGCTTGGCTGCTCCTGTTGTTACATTAACTGACATTTACAAAACTAGAGAGTGCTAATTGTACCAAACCAAGTGTTTAAGAAAGGTCTGAAGAAAAGCAAGACTCAGGGCTAGCAAAGCAGGAGGACATTCAGTGCAAGGTAAATTACAACATGCCCTGAGCCATGTGAATTGATCTTCTCTTGGCATCTTGTCTTTCGTTTGCACCAGTGAGAGTTAATTCTCTATCAGCCACTGGGCTGACAGAATCAGCATCCAAAGAAAACTTCATTTATTGATGATCATGCAGCAGCAATCCTGAGGCTCTTCTGTCTGGTTGCATTTCCTTGACAAACAAAAATACAATAATAATGGTTTTCATTTCATCATCTACCTGCCACATCCAGTTTTTCACAGATACAGAATGCCAAGCAGGGCATATATTAATTTGGTTGCAGACAGCACACTATAGACGAAGCCAGTAAAGAAGCAAGTTCGTGAAGCATTCAAGGGGAATGGAGAGGCTTTGGCAACATCTACTATGCTGAACACGAAGGCCACTCTTCATTGGCCATTGGGCAGTGAAGGAGGCTTGTATTTCTACAAAGAAGTTTCCATTTCAGCATGTTTCCAAGTAAAGACTATGCTTGTTTGCATAATCATAACAGTGTTTGATGTCAGTACTGTTGTTCTAAGCCTAACATCTGCTACCCTTTATATAACTCTGGGCTTTCAAAATCAGCGAGGTCTTAGATTTCACCAAGCCTTACCCAACCCAGCAGTTATTATCTTTTTCTTTTCAACCTTTCTAGAGTACTGTGGACAAACTTATTAAGAAGACAAACCTAGCCCTTGTGGTTGGGACGAACAGCTGGCGAGAACAGTTTATTGAAGCGATCACCGTCAGCGCAGGTGAGTGAGTATCTTTCTCACATTAAACAAAACAGCCACCCAGGAGTGTGTTTCCTGCCGTAGCCACTAGGTCTATTATCACAACACCAGAAAACTCCCATGAGAAAAATCAATAGATAAATAAATGTATTTTTAGCCTTCATGCACATTTTGGAGAATCAGATGTTGTCGATGAAGCAAATGTCTTCAAATATGACATTCTTTTTTATGGATGCTGCATTTTTCACTCTGGAAATAGACAAGATAAATTTAAAGAATTTTTTGTCTCTAAATCCCTGATTGCCAATCATGAGATTTTATCTGGAACATTCCCTTACAGCTAGACAGAAGGGCCAAGCCCTGGTCAGGAAGGAAACGACAAAATCATAGGTGGAAAAGGATATCAAGATACCTCAACACTGCCATCTGCATCACTTTACACTCACTTCAACAATGTCTAGCAAATAAGTGTCTGTGTGGCTCTAGAAGTGGAAATAGAATCACATTCTGTTTCTTCCTGTCTGAGCAAAGTGCAGAGCTTTATTTAGGAAAACCATACAAAATGAAATGTTTTAATAGCCGCAGTTTCTGGGGGAATTAAATATAGCAAGAAATGGCCCTTTCCTGCATTGCCCAGCCTCGTCCACATCTCTTTATACTCTCATCTTTGTACTCTTCATAGAAATAGAGGTGAGTCCCTCTCAGAGATCCTTGAAAGCGACACTCATGGAAGTGTTTCTCCCATTCTCCTGCTCCCTCTATGGTGTCTCTCTTCTCTTTAAAGATCACCGTTGGCTTATGTCTACTGTTGAAGCTAATGAACAAAGCTAGAGTTTCCTAACTAGTGATTCCCAAACTGTAAAATATGGAAACAGCGTCACTAGCAGTTGGGCCATGACTTCTAGCACAACCCCCTCTTTCCAATCTGCCACAGAATAATTTGACAGATCTCGCAAGTGCTGTGGGAACAGAGGGTGGTTTAAAAAAAAAAAAAAAAGTGCCTGTTTATTATTAGTGCTGTTTATAATCACACTTTGGTTTCTTGCAATTGAGTATACAATAGGATTTTATGAGCATTAAGTGGTGGGTAATTGCTCAGAAGAGTCGATTTGGAATTTACACATAATTCCTAACGGAGCAGAAGAAATTCCTTGACATTGTCCATTTGGGCTGCTATAACAATATACCTGAAATGGAGTAGCTTATAAAGAATAGATATTCATTTTCACAATTCTAGAGGGTAGAAAGCCCAAGGTCAATATGCATTTGGTGTCTAGTGAGAGTCCACTCCACGGCGAAAGGGACAAGAGACCTCCCCAAGGTTTCTTTTTAATGGCACTAACAATCATGAGGACTCTGATCATTTCCCATCATCTTCCAAAGGCCACACCTTGAAATATCTCACTGAAAGGTAAGGGTTGGAAGCCAGAGCATGAATATTCAGTCTGTAGCACTTGCTCACTGGGGCTGTATGTTTCGATAAATCTAGGAACAGTATCTGAGACATGAGCTATGTTCCTCTTCCTAGAGAAAAAATTGAAAGGACAAAGATGGCTTGATAGGAAGCTGTTAACAAGACCTAATAGTAGTAAACATTAAGCGTAACCAAATTGGCTTATGGGCTTTGACATATCAAATTGAAACATTAAAAATAACATAAGCCTTAATGAACCATTCCTAATAGTCTTCAAGTTTCTTTTGGCTGTGAACGCATGAGCATTTTGTATTCTAGGCACGTACTGAACATCATTCCTTCACTTTGGCACATGCCAACACTGTTGTTGGATCAAGGGCTACCATAGTGCATGAAACAAATACGCCTGTCTTATTGGAGCTTATATTCTGTGGGAAGAGACAATCAAGTAAATCAACAAGTCGAATAAGCTGTATGTGTATATGATAGTAAGCTTACCATGGGGAACAACAAAGTTACAGAGGGAAGAAAAGTATGTGTAGGGCTGCCGTGGACAATTGTCTAGAAGATTCCATCAGAAAGCACAGCCATGCAAAATTTGCTTTTCTAGCAGTGGAGTGATTTTATGTTGTTTCATTTGTTCATTTTTGTAACACTCAGGGACAAACATTTTAAGACCAGCCCACTGCAATGAACAAGGGTAGCTTTCAACAAAGAGATTGTACTGTGAATGGGGCTAAAGCTATGCACCTAGGTAGATAAGGCTAATTCTTCCTTAAATAGGCAGGTTTTGGTTTGCCAATAATTATCTAAACTATGCTGAATTAATTCCACTCAGAACCTCAGGAGGTAGGTGTTATGACCATCCTTCCCTTAAACAGGAAGAATTGAGTCTCAGCCAGGCCATAAGGCCTCTGCACACAGCTTAAAGCCCTAATCTACCGAACAGTAATCGAGTGTGCTATGTTATGTCCTTCTGAGCAAGTTCAAAGGGAGGGAAGTTGTCTCATTGAGTGACACCAGTTTGTCACACCTGGTGCCCTGGTTCCAGGGCTTGCTGTGGTGCCAACAGCTGCCCCCACCCATCAGAGAACTGTAAATGAATGAAACTCAAATCCTCTGGTGTTCTTATTTGTCATGAGATCTATTATGTTTTGTGTTTCTGAATGGCTGCTTGGAAATAAGAGAAAATTGCTCGGAAATTTGCAGGCTGCTGGGTAAATTGGCCTTATTTACAATTTTGAGACAAAATGTTAGAAAACCAAGCCTATATTTTATAGGCACTAAGTCACATGAAGGACAGTTAGAAAGCTCAATATTTGTCATTATGATTAAATTTAAGTGTAGTATTCTTAGGGTGCTAAATGGACAATGAAATTTGTAAGGTGGCATTTATTGAAAACAGACTTACATTGGATTGTAAGATTTTATGGCTAACTAGTTGAGAATCAGAAAGATCTAGCTTATTAAAAATATTAAACTGCCTTCAAATAGGCCTGCTGAGATTTTTTTCCTTTGTAATTCTCTGTGCAAAATTGAATCTATATATCTTTCTAAACAAAAATAATGACTTTGTAACTATAATTTTGCTTCTTTTTCTCAGTGATTATATTTAAGTTAGTTTTGAGGTAATCCCCTGGCAGTCTTTTTCCTGCTTTCTAATCATTTATCTCATAGCTCAATACTTTGGTCCCTAGGACCATAATGTTTCTGTAAACAAAACATTTAAGTTCAATGTTTGAAGGGTTAAAGGATTTATGAGATTCTAGAGATTAGGTAGGGATTAAACAATCAGTTCCCAGAAGTTCTCCTTCTATTGCTTCCTGGGTAGAATATCAGGAGCAGTAACATGCAGCTGTTAAGTGGCCATCAGAAACTTCCAAGGGAAGCCCGACACTATCACTGCTTTTCAGATGTGCCAGAAGAGGCGCCCCTAAATGAAGCCAACGTTCTCTGCATGTCCAGTTCGAATGCCCCCCCCCTCCCGTGCCTCATTCCCCATAGTATCTCTTCTGGGGCAAATGGAGGATTTACTTTAAGAAATTGTGTACTGGCCAGGGTACAAAACAGAAACATGTGTCAGAGAAGAGGGCAAACATTGGTTGGATAATGAGAACCGGGATACCAATGTCAAGTCCATCACTTACACACTTTTGTTCACACCAGTCCTTGACCACAGCAATGTAAAAGGGAGAGCTATGGCCAGTTTGGCTGTGGAGTCGGATTTTGAATTGTGTCTCAGATCTCCACAAGCCTCTGGTCACTTCATCTCAAAATCTCAGTTATCACCTATGTCAAATGTAGATGGAGTAGTTGTCAAGCTAAATCCAAGCAATACATGTTTTTTACAAGGCCTGGCTATATATTTGGATATCATAATTGGTTGTTTGGGGACAAATCATCTTGAAGATTTCACAATAAAATATATCCACATTTTGTATAAAATGCATTGATCAGCTTAATTACTAAAGTGGCTAAGTGACGATCAACACCGGTTTCATGTTAGTATATGTGCCACTGCAGAGATAACTGAGCTTCAGAAAAGCAATGTAATTTGCTTAAGAAGCAAAACTGGCACTGAGTGCCAGCTACCAATCAGCCAGTGTCCCCCAGGGTGAAGAGTGGGTCCCCTTGCATTGCCTTGGCCTGAATACACACCCACACATACACACATGTAGGCATGGGTTTGCACAAACACACACAAGCACAGAGACATACATGTGAACACATAGAGAGACACAAATCACACAGGACATGCACCTTGTGGGACATGAATAATTCAGTTTCAGAAACCTGAAAGGTTTTTTTTCCTTTTGTATTTTTAATTCCCTGAAAGCCTCATTTGTAGTTCTTTAGGGAAGGTGCTAAACTTCCTACTTGAATACGGAGACTTCTCTTATCTAATAACCTGTGACTTGCTGACTTGCTTTAAAAAAATTCAACCACTGCCCTCCTTTTTTTTTTTTTTTTTTAAAGATTTATTTATTTATCCATACAGAACGGGGTACAGGCCAGAGGTATGGGGGTGGTGAGAGGCTTCATCAGAGACAGAGTGGGGAGCAGAACAGGCAGATTTTTGAAGTACACTGCTGAGGGGAGCAACGGGCGGGTCTGCCCGCCATGTGGTCACCTCCGGAGTGGGCAGGGAATAGAACTCATGCTGAAGTGGCTTTAGCTTCTCAGTGCTGTGCTTTAACCAGCTGCACCACCAGGGAGGACCACTGCTCTCCTTTTTTATTTGATCGTTTCAAGTATCCAGCACTAAGGATTTCTGTGAAAATTTTCACTTTTACATAGATCCTAGGTACGCATTTGATGAAGTATTGCTTTGTACTTACATAATGAAGGACACCTCAAAAGTGCAAAGAAAAAAAGCTTGGCCAAGTACTTAACTTAACTATCTGAATTTGAGAGCTGTGTGGGTGAACTCTTAAGATCCTACCCAGCACTACAAACTGAGAGCTGTGCCAGGTTCCCCAGGGCATCAGCAATAGGGATGCACAGCCCACTGCCCAACCGGCTTGCCTACGTTAAACTTTCGGCACAATGACAACTGACAGGCACCTTCTAGTCTCCCAAAAGGAGAGAGGTGAGAAGATTTTCTTCA